CATGAGTTACTTTCTTCATTAATTCTATCATATTTATTGTCTACTATGTTCTGGTAGCGTAGTGGTCAGCAGTTTGAAACTGCCAGCTGTTCCACTGGAGAAAGATGAGACTTTCTGTTCCCGTAAAGATTTATGGCCTTGGAAACCCTGTACAGGGTAGCTATGAGTCGGAACCGACTCCACGGCATATAACAACAACAACAAAAATGTTCCAGGAGTCCTGGTGTGGTGCTGTGGGCTAATGCGCTAATGGGTTGTGTATTAAGTGCCGTTGAGTTGGTTTTGGCACATAATGACCCTTTATAGGTGTTTTGAAGAGTGGCTGGTAAGCTCGAACTACCGACTTTGAGGTTCAAATGACTTTTCAGTCCAGTGCATTAACTCACAGTGCCACACCAGGACTACTTAGTATGGGTAAATGGGGTACAAGAGCTTTGGGTTCTATGTCAGGTGACATGAGGAGCCACTGGAAGGTTGTGAGCAGGGAAGTGATATACTCTAGCAGCTTCTCTAAAAGGACTACTCTGCTGTAGTGTGAGTAGATGCCAAAGGGCATGATGGGACACCAGTTAGATTCCTATCTCAGTAATGGCAGTAAGAGCTAATGGTGGCTCCTACCAGGGGAGCATTATTAGAAGTAATTTTTGTTGTTGTTTTGTGCTTTTGAGTTCATTCCGATTCATAGTGACTTTGTATAGAGTTTCTGAGACTCTTGGTAGGTTTGAACTGCCAAAATTGTGGTTACCAGTCCAGTGTTTATCCAACCACACCAGGGCTCATGAGAAGTAATTAGATAAGTGAATATATGGGGGCTTTAAAAATGTGGTGGAAATTTTTCATTATCTTTCAATTACATTTTCCACCAACTTTTTGGAGCCTCCTTGTACTGTGAAAGTAGAGCTGACAAATTTCCCTGGAAGATTGCAGATGGGTTTGAGACAAGAGAGGACTCATGGATGATTTCTAGGTTTTGGGCCTGAACAACTGGAAAGATGGAGGTACAGTCAGTTGAGATGAAGAAGTCTGTACGTGAAGTAGGATTTTGGTATGGGAAGATCAAAAGTTCCACTTTAGACATGCTAAGTTTAAGGTATCTAATGTGAGTCTCTGGGTGGTACAAAAGGTTAAAGTCCTTGGTTGCTAATTGAAAGTTGGGAGGTTCAAGTCCACTGAGAGGCATGTTTTAAGAAAGGCCTGCCAGTCTACTTCAGAAAGATCACAGCCACTGAAAACTCTATGGAGCATAGTTCTACTCTGACATACAATGGTGCACAAGGGGTCAGCCTCTACTTGATGGCAACTGTTTTTTTTTTTTT